CTGGGAAGGGGCTGGAGAATTGCTGAGGGAGCTGGGAAGGGGCTGGAGAATTGCTGAGGGAGCTGGGAAGGGGCTGAGCCTGGAGCAAAGGAGGCTCAGGGGGCCCTTGTGGCTCTGCACAAGTCCCTGGCAGGAGGGGACAGCCGGGGGGGTCGGGCTCTGCTGCCAGGGAACAGGGACAGGAGGAGAGGGAACGGCCTCAGGCTGGGCCAGGGGAGGCTCAGTGGGGACAGCAGCAGGAATTTCCCCATGGAAAGGGCTGTCAAAGCCACCTGGAAATGTTTAAAAAGCAGCTAGATGTGCACTTCAGGACACGGTTTAATGGCGGTGCTGGTTGATGTTTCGTTGATTTTAGACGACTTTTCCAACCTTAACAATTCCATGATTCCATGATTCATTTTGGAAACAGGGCCTTCCAGTCTCCTGCAGGACCTGGCTGCAGTGGGACTTCCCCAAGGACCAGCCATTCCCATTTCCAAGGTTTGGCCCTCATGAAGCATTCAGAGCTGTCCAAGCAAATCTACAAAAGGACCTGAGGGAAGATTCAGGTTTGAGGCCACACTTGAACGGCTCATTCCCAGTCCTCTGGGATTGCCTTCCTTCCACTCTAAGGATGGAATAATCAATTTATGATGAAGTTTGTGCTGTCCAATATTCCCAGTAATTCAATTTGCCAGGTGGAAGCGTCCGAGTCATTAATCACCTGTTCTGTGCTTGATACTGTTTTAATATTTAACGCCAGGAGAAGGCATTTGTTTGTTTAGCGATGTCAGGGACAAACCAGCTGTGATTTCAATGCAGCCCAGACAAGAGAGATGAAAACATCTTTTAAAACTGCTATAAAAAGGAGTCTCTTTGTCTAAAGGAAGAACCACGATGTAGAGGGAATAAATCAAGTCAAGCTGAAGCATCAGAAACGAGAGGAGCAAAAAAAAAAATGAAGAGCCCTTGTTCCTTTGTTGGAGCCCAGGACAGATTTTTTTTCTAAGATGGATTTAGATTCTTCTTCTGAACAGAGAAAGGGAAGAATTTTATCTTCTTTTGGCCCCCACATGACAAGAAGGACATGGAGGTGCTGGAGTGTGTCCAGGGAGATTCCGGGAGCTTGGAAGGGGCTGGAGAACTGCTGAGAGAGCTGGGAAGGGGCTGGAGAATTGCTGAGGGAGCTGGGAAGGGGCTGGAGAATTGCTGAAGGAGCTGGGAAGGGGCTGGAGAATTGCTGAGGGAGCTGGGAAGGGGCTGAGCCTGGAGCAAAGGAGGCTCAGGGGGCCCTTGTGGCTCTGCACAAGTCCCTGGCAGGAGGGGACAGCCGGGGGGGTCGGGCTCTGCTGCCAGGGAACAGGGACAGGAGGAGAGGGAACGGCCTCAGGCTGGGCCAAGGGAGGCTCAGGGTGGATATTGGAAAAATTCCCTCATGGAAAGGGTGGCCTGGCCTTGGAAGTGCCCAGGGAGGTTTGCAGTGATCATTTCTGGAAGGGTTTAAATCCATGAGGAGGTGGCACCTGGGGCCATGGGGCAGTGGTGGCCCTGCCAGTGCTGGGGAATGGTTGGAGCACGTGATCTTCAACGGCTTTTCCACCCTAAATAATTCCATTATTCCATTATAGTTCTATCTCCTTAATTAGCGAGTGAAATCTCACCCTTCCCTGCAGGAAGATATGGGAAGGCTTTGAGGCGCTCTTTTGTTGCCGCTTCCCTTTATTCCAGGCAAAATCCAGCAAATGCCATGGGACCAGAACAAATAATGTTCTATTTGCATGAACTGCTGATATTCCCAGGGATTGCTCCCTGTGCCCTGCAGGACCTCTCTGGGACAGAAGTTCACGCACGGTTGGGTCCTTCAAGGCCGCTCTTGGATCTTCTCCTTCCCTGTGGTTCACCTGAGGACAGCCTGGGTATGGATTTGAGATGAAACCACACATCAGCTTTAATTAGCTCAGCTCCAGATCTCATTACGGATCGGGAGCGTGAGCCAAGCCCATCAGGAATTGTTTGAGGGAACCCAGGTTGGTGTAGAGGGTGATAAAACAAGTAAAACCTTCCAGGTCCAGCAGCAAACTGGGCTAGCTTGAAGGACTCTCAGGGTTATTCCCACATGGAAGCGGCTCCATTGCCTCACAGGAGGCAGGGGGTGGAGGATCTGTGCCAGAGGAAGGAGCTGATCCCAAGCCAGCTCTTGTGGAAAGGGTGTAGGAGCCCCGGAGCTCAGGGATGCGTGTCCCAAACACCCACAGCCGGATGGAGCCATCCAAAGATTGTCTGTGACAATCTTTGGGAAAGAACGGGAGAAAGAGGTCATGTGGAGGCAGGGCAGAACTTTCCTGGGAATGCCATCCCTGTTCTGGCTCCTGGAGATCAGCACAGGGCAGGAAAGAGGCTGGGAAGTGCCCATGGACTGTGGGGGAATCGAGACCATCCCAGAGCCTCCCCAGCCATCCCCAGGAAAGTCTGGAAGAACAGACTGAGCACAAGAAGTATTTTTTTCTCCCAGGATGGGGAAAACTCATCCCTAAAAAGGTGCCCCCAAATCCTGGGAGGACCCTGCACATCCCGTCAGCCGGATCAGCTCTGGAGCCAGCACTGGAGATCTCCCTTTGTCCCATTCTCCCTCTTCCCTTTCATCCCACCCTCTATCCAAACCCCACTGGCTCATCCCAGCAGATCAGGAACAACCCAACATCAATTTCCATCCCAAGTGTATAATTAACAAATAAAACTTAGGAATCTTTTGTGGAATTTTGCCATCCCTTTCAACCATGAGCATCTACAAACTTCGGGTGCCCCCTTCCATTTAAGGATGGGTTGCCGAAGCTCTCCCTTGGGATTGGAATGAAACAGGCTTTAACCCAAACATTCCATGATTCCGTGATTCCATGATCTATAGGAACATAAGGAGGTAGTTTGTGCTCTAATTTCAAGGAAAGAAGGGGATTTTTGGGATTGTTTTCCCCCTTTTTGTCTTCTTTTGGGAGGTTGCCCTGCTGCAGCCCCACAAAGATTCCAAAGGAAATCTCTCCAAAGGCAATTTTCTTGTCCTGGGAGACGGGGAAAAGCTGTAATAAAACTCATGGAATATCATTAACAGGATAGGTTGAACCACTGGGAACACATCCAGAAAACAAAGGAACAGACAACCCCTGGTAGAGTTAAATGAGGCAAGAAACAGGGGCACTAAATGTTCTCCACTTCCAATTAAAATCCCCAGGAAGAACCACAAGAATTCCTTAATTCATCGTTAAACCCTCCTAAATATTCCCACTCCTTCTATTTTGGTCTTTATCTGGCAGATTCCTTGTCGTATTAGCAGCCGTGTGAATTATTATATATTGCTTGGAAGCCTTGATTTTACAATCTGTCTGTAATTAGTCCTCAGAATTTGGGGGTTTTGCCATTATTTATAATGGATTAAATGATTCATCTTGGATCTTTCTGGAAAAATATTCCCTGGAGATGTTTCCCCCAAATTTCCCCCAAAAATCTGGAGCCACGGCCATGCAAAGGCAGTAAAAGTCAGGAGAAGCAGGGGAAAATATTTCAAATATAGTATTTTTAAATAAAACTCACTTCGAGGAAAATAAAAAAACAGTTTTCCAGAGGATTTCCCTCTATTTGGGTCTTTTGGATTGATTAAGGCACAGATAAATGAATTGGAATTGTCAAGCTCCTGTGTAAATCTCCCGGATTTATGTAAAAAAAAAAGAGATTTTCCCATTTTTCCTATTAGGGAAAAAGCTTCTCCTAATGAAATAGCCCACCTGCTGCTCCAGGTTAATCCACTCCGTGGATTTTGACCTGCAAACATGGGGAAATTCCATCAAAACCTGCCATGGAAAATTGTCTTTGTGCCCTTTCCCACTCGTGTTTCCCTTGCCTGGGAATGAAGTGTGGATAAAATAGACCTGAGGCAAGAACTCTTTCAATCTTATCAAAATAAAAGATGGGATTCCTGATGTCCCCACTCCCAGGTAGTGGGAGCAGAGGGGGTGAATCACGGAATCATGGAATATCCTGAATGGGAAGAGACCCTCGAGGATCATCCAGTCCAACCCCTGTCCCTGCCCAGACGCCCCAACAATCCTGCCCTGGGCATCCCTGGCAGCGCTGCCCAAACGCTCCTGGAGCTCTGGAATAAGGAAAAGGCCCAAGTCCTTATGCTGATCCTGCACTCAGGCAATGGAAAAGCCCAAAACTGCAACGTGTGAAATCCTTGGGAAGAGTTTCCTCCCCCATCCAGGACACGGGACACCAATTCCTCTCCAATCCAAGGTGTCCATGGTAGGAAGGGACTTCCAGGGCCAAAATGGGAGTTCCCAACAAAAGCATTCCTGAGGACCTGCTCATTTTAACCATTTAGGGCTGAGAGAGATTTACTGCACCCCAAGAGCCCCAAATCTCTTGGGATTATGGATGAACCTTTTGGTTTGGAACAAAGGAGGCTCAGGGGGCCCTTGTGGCTCTGCACAAGTCCCTGGCAGGAGGGGACAGCCGGGGGGGTCGGGCTCTGCTGCCAGGGAACAGGGACAGGAGGAGAGGGAACGGCCTCAGGCTGGGCCAGGGGAGGCTCAGGGTGGACATTGGGAAAATTCCCTCATGGAAAGGGTGGCCTGGCCTTGGAAGTGCCCGGGGCAGGGGTGCAGTGCCCATCTTTAGAGGGATTTAAATCCACCTGGAGGCGGCACTTGGGGACATGGGCCAGTGGTGGCTGTGGCAGTGCTGGGGAATACTTGTACTCCATGATCTCCAAG